TTTACAACAATTATAAAAATATTCAGAAGCTATTATTTTTTACAATAAGGCTATTTAGATCAATCCTGATTATTAATGGGCTAAAAATTATAAAGGTATTTTATAATTTATATTTATAGCTGAATGTGAGAAATAACTCAAACTCAAAAAGTGAGTTAAGTGATTATCAAATTATTATTTTCCAAAAGTTCATAAAAATATTCTTCTTTCGTAAATGTTCTTATTAAATTACATGTTACTTAATTTTATAATATATCATAATACTTCAAGTTTTAATCAAAATCTAATTATTAATACTTCACTAAGATTTTCCTCTCATTATTAAATTCATAATTTTATTAACAAATGTTAATCGCTCAATTAATACTAAAATAACCAATTACTTTTTTCTTGAATTAATCGGATATAAAAATCATTAATGCTTCATTTCTTAATAATAATAATGCTTTTTTTAAATGATAGCTGAATAAAATTAAATTAAAATTAGATTATTTCATCTTTATATAAAATGTATAATACGCGTCTATTAAATATAAGATAAGGAAGTTAAACTACTTGAGCATTTCTTGATGTCTTAATTAAAATTATTAAAATTTATCACCAAATTAATTTAATTTTTTAAGTATTTAATTTAATGATTAAATAATCTTCATTTTGATAATTGGGCAAAGCATCTAAAATTAAAATAATTGATTTATTTGATCAATTTATTAAGATAAAAAAATTGAGTATATTTGATTTTACACTTCACTATTGACTTTGTTTTTTTAATTTGAAAAAAATGAGCTCAGTAATGAGAGATGCAAACTTTTAAGTAATTCAATGGAAATCACAAAATTCAAATTTCACGTAATATTAATAGGGACTTTTGAAAATTGTTTCATCTATTAATAATAAACTTCTTAAATTGAAGTCAAGTAGGAATTATAAATTTATTCAAAAACATAAACTTCCTGAAAAATTAATCATTTATACATACCAACTCGTGGGACATTGGTATAATTTTTCTAATGATAGTATTATAGATAACATAGCTTAAATTAATTTTTGAGTAACGAGGTTATTATTTAATGATGGCATAATTCATAAATTTGTTGCTTAAATTACATGTTATATATTTTTCTTCGTATCTCTTTGAGTAATTTAAAATAGTAATTCTAATCCATTCTTTTGGTGGACAAATTTATTGGTATTCTGTTAAGAAAAATTCAATTTTATTCTAATTATTATTCAACTTTTTTAATTATCAATCTTTTAACACATTCTTATTTAGTTGAATTTCTTTTTACCATTTCATTTTGATCCTAAATTAGTTCAACCAAGTGTTTTTTCTTGACAACTACATTAAAGG